TAAAGTATGTTATTTATCTGAAAGTCCCATTTAACTGGGTATCCTATACTTTTATTTGTTAAATTTGACAACCTGAGTCCAGGCTTTCCTGGGGCTTCCAGACTTTCTTTATTGGCTCAAAGGCCCAATACACAAATAATATGAATTTGGAATTGAGTGAGTAAGATAAGAGTACCATTCCTGGAGTTACACTGCTTAGGTTCATATCCCTGCCCTACCACTTCCTAGGTGTGTGGTCTTAATATAAGCCTCTGTCTTCATCTATAAAATGTATCAAGTGAACTATAAGAAATAATTCATATGGAGGATTTTAGCATTGTTCTTAGCATGTGTAAGTGTTCAAAAAGAACTTTTACTCCTCTGGGAAAACAAGTTAGAAAGCACATAACTATTAAGTGGGTGCCACCAAGTAGAAAGTCAAATGTTTTTTAAAAAAAATAATAAGATTACAAATAGGATAGCATGTAGAGGAAGAAGGGAACATGGCCAGGCAGCAAATACAGTATTGAGAATACATACCTCTGTGGAAATGGAGAATGCAGAAAATAAGCTGGTTTGACCCTGTTGAGAGGAATTGTCTGGTTCTGGGCTTCAGTTAAAACAAACAGGGCTGGGGATGTAGTTCAGTGGTGGCACTTGCCTGCCATGTACAAGGGCACTGGGTGTTCCATCCCCAGTACTGAATGAAAAAATAGAAACCTGAAGATTCTAAAAAGAGAACAATGTTAAAACCAAGGTGGAGGGCGTGGCGGAGGGGGGGGGGGGGGGGATGTGGCTCAGCAGTAGAGTGCTTGCCCAGCATTCATGAGGCCTTAGGTTCAACCCCCAGCACTGCGGTTGGTGGTGAGAGGAACTCTCTAAAAAGTGAACTCACCAGTTGACCCCACAAAAGGCAAAAGGGAAATTTAACAACTTCACTGGGCTTTGTTGTTAGGTTTTGTTTTGTTTTGTTTTGGGCTGGTGGCGGGGAGAGGCACAGGTGATATTGGGGATAGAACTCAGGCCCTTTACCACTTAGTTACATCCCCAACTCTTTTTTTTTTTTTTTTTGTAGACAGGGTCTCACTTAATTGTCCAGGATGGACTTGAATTTGCCATCTGCTTCAAATAGCTCAGCCTCCAAGTAAGTAGCTGGGATCACAGATGTACACCTCTGCACCTGGCAGAGTATTTTAAAAGAATTTACATACATCTGGCTAAAGTTTGAAATAGGAATAAGTAGTTCCCTGCCAATAGAAAGTAAGTCCAGGGTTTAGCACAGATAACATTTTCTTCTCTGAAAAGTCTCAGAAATTGGGGGAAATTTTATGCTCTTTGGGATGGTCTAAATGTCATTCTTTCTATGTGAAAGATCAGATGATTTTTTTAGGGCCCTCCCCAGGTCTACAATCTATACTGACATTTCAAAAGCCAAATATGACAGCATGTTTGTGCAGGAATTGCTGTCTTAGGCTACTCTGCCTGAATTCATTTAACCTGGGACATGGGCACTATGACTCCACTTCTCTTCAAAGTCAAATAACTAAGCAACACTAATCTTTTTTCTAACATCCCCCCCACCAAAAAAAAAAAAAAAAAAAAAAAAACCAGAATTACTATAGGCTCAGGAAATAATTTTAAAATTTATATGCTTCTCTCATATAGAGGACCTAGGACTATAGAGGTGAATGTTTTTAAAAACTTGATGACATTTATGATGAATACCAAGTTTTAGATTATTCATAAAATCTGATGGCATATACCTGTAATTCCAGCTACTCCGAAGGACAAGGCAGGAGTTCGAGTTCAAGGCCAACTTGGGCAATATAGCAAGATTCTGTCTCAAAATAAAACTGTAAAAAAAAGGGCTGGGGATATAGCTCAGGTAAAACACAAAGGACTGAAAGTTCTGTTCAGTGGTAGAGCACTTGCTTAGCATGCTCAAAACTCTAGATTCAATCCCCAGCACCAAGAAGAAGAAGGAGAAGGAAAAGCAGAAGGAGAAGAAGATGATCTACTCCTTTTGGGTGTTTGGCTTCTTAATCTGTTTTTTCCTTTGTTTCTGCAAATTATGAGAAGAATTTAAAGACATATTACTGGTGCTGAAATAATTCTGGACTTGCATTTTTCAAGGATTATGTAGCAGGGGAGAGTAAAAGGTTAAGTTAGATAGTTGATATCCATCCAACTGAAGAAAAAACTAAAAAAGAAAATAAGGAGCTGGATGCAGTGGTGCATACCTGTAATCCCAGTTCTCAGGAGGCTGAGGCAGGAAGATCATAAGTTTGAGGTCAGCCTCAACAATTCAGTAAGGTCCTGTTTCCAAATGGTAAATAAAAAGGGCTGGGGATTTAAAATGCCCCTGGGTTTAATCCCCAGTACTACAAAAATAAATTCAAAAGCTAAATAATTTTAAACAGTAAAGAAGCTGGAATGTGAAACAATAATAGGACTAGGACCATTATCTTTTTTTTTTCCTACTTCCATTTTCATAAGATCGTAGAGTGTTAGAAATGAAAAACATCTTAGAAATAAATCTACAGTAAAATCTCAACTCATCCTGGTCTCCTGTAAATTTCCTTTACAGAATAATGCCTCAACAAAGGCTCACTGAATAGGTAAGAAGGTGGAGGATGGCACTGCCTAGTAATTCACAGAAGAGAGAGACCTCATCTATTAGTGAAGATACAAACTGGACCAGTGGTATACACAGCAGGAGGATTGCAAGTTTGAAGACAGCCTCAGCAACTTACTGAAACCCTGTCTGAAAAATAAAATAAGGGCAGGGGGTGTAGTTACTTTTAAAATAAGGGTAGGGGATATAGTTACTTTGCTAAAACTCCCTGGGTTCGATCCCCACTAGTGGAAGGAAGGAAGGAAGGAAGGAAAGAAAGAGGGAAAGAGGGAAGGAAGGGACTACTTGTTATCATAGTGACCTATAACCTGAATTGCTATCACCATTAGATATTCCCTAGATCTATGAAGTATTTATGGTTTTTTTCTGTTTGTTTGTTTGTTTTTCTTGGTGCTGGAGATTGAACCCAGGGGTGCTTTACCACTGAGCTATACCTGAGCCCTTTATATTTTTTTTTTATTCTGAGACAAACTCACTTAGGTGGTTAGGACTTGCTAAATTGGGAAGGCTGGTTTCAAACCCGTGATCCTCCTGCCTCAGACTCCCAAGGCAGGGATTACAGGTGTATGCCACTAAAGCCAGCATATTTATGGTTTTAAAATGTTTTCTTTAAAAGTATTTCATGCTCATCCTTTCCCTTCTCTATACATCCCTTCACCGCCATCTCCTTTGTTCCTTCCATCACTTCCTATTGGCTAGTTCTATACAATTTTGTGCCTCTACAACAAACAACTATTAGGCTTATTCCATGAAGGGCTATTCTGGTCACTTTTTAATGTTTACCACTTTGGAGTAAAAATGTATCAACACTAGAGATACTTGAATACAATTACTCCTAATATCTTCAGCAATTCTAGTTTATAAACTAGTCATGTGTACCATGAAAAATGACCATAGACTTCTCCAAAAGAAGTCTCATTGCAAGGATGTAAGGTTCTGTCCAAAACTATTTTCCCAGAGCAGAACATGTAAAATTCCATCTCACTTTCTGGAGTCTGGTGAGAAAAGGTATAAGAAGAAAAAGAATATTGCCTCTTCTTTCCATAAATCTCTGAGTGAGCCCAATCACAAGACCAAAAAAGCAACCTAAAGGGCTAAAGAACAAACTTTAGCCTTTCTCCAACATAATAGCATCACATGTCATTAAATTGAATTGAGACTCTTTGAACAGTAATTGCAACCAAATTTGCTTTCCATAAAAGCAATCTCTTTCTACTTGCCATAGTACCTACTATTTTACCATAGGACTGTGTGGTGTTTATCTAGCTCATCAAATTTAGGACCCTATTTGCCAGAGAACTGGACAAACAGGAGACGGAAGAACTGGACTGTGTGCTGAGCTCATTCTTGTTGGCCTAAACCTGTCTGTCCTCTCCTTTGACAAGTGTGACAAGCAGCACTAGCCTACGCAGCCCCTGACCACTTGTGTTATAGATAGCCCAAACTGAAGCAAGCTGTAAGTCAAAACTATACACTAGATTTCAAATACTAACTAAATTTTTTTTCCAAGAGTTAAAGCTGCTCTTTTGGTTTTTGTTTGTTTTGTACTGGGGATTGAATCTAAGGGCACTCTACCACTGAGATACATCCCCAATCCTTATTAATCTTTAAAACAGGGTCTCACTAAATTTCGGGGGTTGACCTTGAACTTGGGGTCCTCCTGTTTTAGCCTCTGGTGTCCTTGGGATTATGGGTCTGCGTCACTGCAGCTTGCTTCATTGATTGCATGTTGCAATCTTACTTTGGATATATTGGGTTAAATAAATATATAATTTAATTGGTTTATTTTTTATAAGCACATGGGAAATTTTTGATTTCTGTGTGAACCACATATTTCTATAAGCAAGCACTGGTTTACAGGATGACAAAAATAACCATACATTTGAATCGTGCCTTGTCTTTGGAGTGTTCTTTTATATCTATTAAGGGTTTCTCACAAAAACCATCCAATATATTAAAAGCTATATCTCTGCTCTAGCAGGATCTAATCCTGGTCACTTCGTCTAGAATTTCAGTTTATAGAAACGGGCAAACCTTGTAATGCATTTTAAGGGAAGAGGACCCAAAGAACGTGCTGCGGAGTTTGCCTCAAAGAAGTCCCTTGGGGGTAGGGAGCGGCAGGAAGGAGAAGACTGCAGACCGGGTACCCGAGGACTCTCGGCGGAGGCCTCCGGCACCCCGCGGCGGCCTCGGCACCCCGCGGCTGGGGGACCCAGCTCCCCTCCAGGCTTCCCCCGCCAGGCCCGCAAGCGACCTCCCCAAGATGGCCACTGCGAGGGGCGGGCCGTCCGCCTCGTGCCCGCCCGGCGCTGCCGCATATCGATTGGGTAAGACGACTTGGTGGAGAACTGTGATTGGGTCGCAGGGCGGGAGTTGGGCGGGACCGGAAGGTGGTCCCAGCCCCTGGGTTCCGAGGGTCCGGGGCTCTGCGTCTGTCCCCGGGGAATGTGGAGAGCTGGCAGCATGTCCGCAGAGCTGGGAGTCGGGTTCGCATTGCGGGCAGTGAACGAGCGCGTGCAGCAGGCTGTGGCGAGGCGGCCGAGGGTGAGGAAAGGGCATGTGGGGGAACGATGGGCGGCCTCTGAGGAGGGGGACACCTGCGTGGGACTAGGTCGTCACGGTGACGCAGAAGTGTCTCCCCGAGGGGCGGGACCCGCAGGCGAAGCGTGAGCGAGGACTGCGGAGCCCCAGAAAGGCTAGCGAAGGATCTCCTCCGTGACCTCGAGTTGTGTCTGTTAGGTTCTCCAGAGGTTGGCTTTGTCGGTTCAAAAATTACCCACCACACAGTAAAAATGACTCGTGTCCAGATATCGGGGCCATTTTCCATTGCTTGGTGTAGGGGTCTTGTAAGACTCGAGGAGGGGCAGGCCCGTGCCTACACACAGGCTGCATGAGAAGTGTGTGATACCACAGCATGCAAGGGAGCCTCATCACCCGAGATCACGTGTGTGGCAGTGTCTGACAGCTAGTAGATGCTCAGTAAATGTTGTTTCCTCCCCTGGCCAACTAACGTGGTGGTGGATTGGCCCGACTTTGCAGGCACCAGAACTGCATTTGTGAGTCTGGAGCAGGAGGAAGCCGCCCCCAAGCAGTTTAAAAGGAGTGTGTTGTTGGGGTTTTTTTGTTTTTGTTTTTTGTTTTTTCTACCGTATATATTTTGTTGCCTCTTGGGCTTCCAGGATCATCAGTACATGCTCATCTCTGGGCAAGATAGCTGAATAGTTTCAATGACATGAACCCAAAGGATAAAGGCCTCTCTGATAAAGTGTTTATGGTTTCAGAACTCGGAATGCTGGCAAGAAGACAGAAGACCTGTATTCCAGTCTTTCCTTAACTACTAATTAGATGCTACCGTGAACAAATCATTTAACTACTCTGGCGCTCTGTTTCCTCTTCTGTATAGCAATAGAATGAACTCTGAAAGCTCTAAGCTTCTTCCTGGCATTAATATTTTATGATTATCAGTGATTCTCCAAGAAAAAAAAAAATCTAGGTTTTCCCCTAATAAACATCACTTTGGGAGGTTATCCCAGGGTCTCTGTCAGATAGATGGGCTGCCTATTCCACTTTTCCCTCTGAAAACTATTCATTCATCAGCATGATCCTAGGAATTTTGACATGGTCTCCTACAAAACTGATGGTCTTCCTAAGAAAAAAGAAAAATAAGACTTTTTACATTCAACTGGACTCCTACATGTCTTTGAGAATACTGTGATTCTATGAAAATCCCAGGGTGAGTGAGGGACATGAAGACTGACCTATATGGATTAATCTGATTGCTTCTGTGTGGATTTGTTGCAGCAGAATATACAGGGAAGCAGTGCTCTTTATGTAATTGGTATAGGAAGAGGTCAGATAGGTCTACACCTGAGTCCAGAATTGTTTGTGTTCTAGTCTCAGTTCTGCCACTGGGTGGCAGAGTCTTAGATTGAACAATAAATTACATATCATCATCCATTCAGGCTACTTTTGGAGGAGATAGGCATGTTTACAGGTGGTTTGGACATAGACCTAATCAGACCACTTTTAGAATAAATGGGGCAATATTAATAATTAGGCCGAGGATGTGGGGGAAAAAGGTACACTCCTACGTTGTTGGTAGAAATGTAAATTAACACAACCATTTTGGAAAGCAGTATGGAGATTCCTCAAAAAACTAGGAATAGCACCACCATGTGATGATCCAGCTATCCCACTCTGTTATTTTTCTCAAAGAACTAAAATCAGCATACTCTAATGATATGGTCACATAAATGTTTTTATCAATGCAATTCACAATAATCAAGTTATAGAACCAGCCCAGGCATCCATCAACAGATGAATGGATATAGAAAATATAGCATGTATACACAATAGAGTTTTACCCAGCTGTAAAGAAGAATGAAATTATGGCATTTGCTGGTAAATGAATGGAACTAGAGAACATCATGCTAAGTGAAATAAGCCAGACTCAGAAAGTCAAGGATCAAATGTTTTCTCTCATATGCAGAAGCTAGAGCAAAATAAAGGAAAGGAGGGCAGGCAGATACCATAAAAACAGCAGACAGTATAGTAAAGGAAGGGTATTGAGAGGGAGGAAGAGGGACAGGAAAAGGGAAGAACTAAAGAATGCAATTGACAAAATTATGCTGTGTACATATCTGAATGTACTATAGTGAATTCTATCTCTGTATATCTATAAAGCACCAATTAATAAATAGGTATCCCAGTGAGCAGCAGGGAGACTGAGTCCAGGCATGTTGGAGCCAGTTTTACTTCCCCAGCTTGCAGCCAATAAATCACTCTTTTCTTTTCAAAAAAATAAATAGGTTGGACACAGTGGCCCATGCCTGTAATCCCAGCAACTTGGGTGGCTGAGACAGGAGGATCATAAGTTCAGGGCCAGCCTCAGCAAATTAGTGAAGCCCTAAGCAACTTAGAACAGCCCTGTCTCCAAATACAAAAATTTTTAAAAAAATGTTTTTTAAAGGGTTGAGGATGTGGCTAAGTGGTAAAACACCTCTGAGTTCAATCCCCAATACCTAAGTAAATAAATAGAAGGAAGAAGAAAGACCAGTAGAGGAGAGGAAGGGGAAGAAAAGGGAGGGAGAAGATTAGGGGAAGAGGAATCACTGGGGACTGAAACAGAACAAATTATATTCCATGTACGTATGATTATGTCAAAATCAATCCCACTTGTATGTATAACTAAAATGCACTAATAAAGACATGTTTAAAAAACACCAAAAACCTAGAAGTTAATCTGGAACCTTATGCATAATCATCTGATTTCACCTACCATGAAAGAACCACAAGCTTAAAAAGGCCACCATATCCTTAAACAAAAAGTACTCCTTAGTCAGGAATAGTGGTGCATGCCTGTCATCCCAGTGCCTCCTGAGGCTGAGGTAAAAGGATCACAAGTTAAAGGCCAGCCCCAGCAAATTAGTGAGACCCTGTCTCAAAATAAAATAAAAACAAAAAGGGTTGGAGATGTAGCGCAGTGGTAGAACATCCCTAGGTTCAATCCCCAGTACTGGGCAGGGAGCGGGGGAGTATTTCTACAAAGACATCTGCCCAAAAGCTGTGTTCAACCTAAGAATGACACCATTCTTGTTATTAATCATTGTGATGAAAGATAATTGTTTCAAAATATCTGATGTAATCTTTATTTTTGTCTTTTAAAACTTCCCTTTAGCCAGACTCAGTGGTACACGCCTATAGTCCCAGGAACTTGGGAGGCCAAGATAGGAGGATCACAAGTTCAAGGCCAGCCTCAACAACTTAATGAGGCCTTCAGCAATTTATTGAGAACTTGTCTCAAAATGAAAAATAAAAATGGGCTTTGGATGTAGCTCAGTAGTAAAACACCCTTAGGTTAAATCTCTAGTACCCCCCCACACACCCAAAAGAAACACTTTCCTTTGCCTCAACCTCCTTTAATACACCCATAGTTTACTGTAAGGCATGCATATTACCCTTGCAGTGCTCTGCTGTTCCCCAATAAATATTATTGTTCTTTGAAGAAAAAATAAAATAATTTTACCAGGGCTAGAGTAAGTTTCCAAAACTGTATCCCCTCTCTAATTGTGGAGGAAACAACTAACATTTTTCCTGTCTTAGGTTAAGCTATCATGCCCACAAGTATGAGGAAATTCCAGACCTGGAAACCCAAGCAATGGCTCTCTCAGGGACACAAGTTGGACATTTATTATATTTACTGATCATAATGCTTGCAGCACAGTCCTTGTATTCCCCTTTTAAAAACCCTCTGTTCCTCTGGCAGTTAGAATTGCATACAGCCTTTAATAGCTTAGTCTGCTGCTTTTCTCGTGTGCTAGCAAATTGGGAAAACTTTATCCTTTTTCTCAAAACCTTGTCCCCCGTTATTGGAATGTCATCATGGACAAGGACCAAGCCTCCCTTTAGTGAAGTGACTTTTTGGTTTTTTGTTTCTTTCCTTTTTGCAGTGCTGGAAACCCAGTGCCAGGAAGTGCTGTACCACTGACTACACTCCCGACCCCATGAAGTGATTCTTAAGTCTCCATGAAACTTCCTTTAGCCAGACTCAATGGTCTCCAACATTGGTGTACATGAGAATCACTGGAGAGCTTGTTGGAAAGGAGATTCTTTCCAGACATGGTGGGCATGCCTGTAATCCCCGAAGCTCAGAAGGCTAAGGCAAGAAGATCGCAGGTTCAAAGCCAGCCTCAGCAATTGGCAAGGCACTAAGCAACTTAGCAAAACCCTGTCTCAAAAGAAAAAGGGCTGGGATTATGGCTCAGTGGTTAAGGGCCCTTGAGTTCAATCCCTGGTACCAAAAAAAAAAAAAAGATTCTGAGGGTCGGGGGTATAGCTCAGTGGCAGAGTACTTGTCTGACATGGAGAAGGTGCTACATTTGATCCGTGACACCATAAAAACAAAACCAAAGGGAGATTCTCAGAACCCAGCCCCAGAGATTCAAATTCAGTAGATCTCAGTGGGATCCTGGTGATACTAATGCAGTTGATCAAAGACTGCACTTTAAGGAAATATTGCTTTAACTTGTCTTGTTCCCCTGAGAGAGAAATATCTTTTGCTAGTTATTAAGGTAGTTAACACTAAGTTGAGAAATCAGGAATATAAAAGACATTTATGAACCAGGTACTGTGATACACACCTATAATCCCAGCTACTTGGAAGGCTGAGGTAGGAGGATTGCAAATTCAAGGTCAGCCTGGGCAGTTTAATGAGTCCCTGTCTCAAAATAAAATACATTATTCACTGTGGGAGACCAACCTTGCACGTGACTGAGTCTCACTCCCTGGCTGGATGCTGAGGCGCTCAGTAGCAGAATGTGGCAAAGCTTTCCCCACCCTTTTTGGGTTTGAGGGATGGTGTCTCATGCATGGGTGTGTCTTGCTATAGACCCATGGGTGAAGCTACACTCACCTATTCCTTTGTAATATTACCCCTTGCCCTGTTTAGGATAAAATCTTCCATGGAAGTGCCTTGTGTGTGTCCCCTTCTCTTACTGTGCCCTTGAGTGTGGCCTACCCAGGTGTCAGTCAACCTGCTGACAGCAGACATCATGAAGCTGGACTCAGCCCCCTGAAACCTGACCCCTTGCCTCATCTGAATAGCTTCTCAATAAAAGGGGTCAGTGTGTGCTCGCTCTCCCTCACGCGTGCGCGCTCTCTCTCTCTCTCTCTCTCTCTCTTTCTTTCTGTGGATCCTTAAGATCAGAGGAGCTATCACAGCAACCCCAAAAGAAAAAGGTATTTGTGTCTCTTGTGTGGTTATTTCGTGCAACCCAATTAGCCCAGTTTCCCTGGAGTGATCCCTGAGTTTTAGTCGAGAACGAAACCCGGCAATTCACTATTCTTTGATACTAATCTCCCTGAAATATCAGAAAAATGTATCTTACCAAATGCCCAGTTGATATCTATGTCGATTGTTCTACAGAATGCATCCTACAGGACTTAACTGGGATAATTTTCCCAAATGTTCACTCATGTGATGCTTTATCTCTTGGCAGGATCTCCCAGCCATCCAGCCCCGGCTAGTAGCAGTCAGCAAAACCAAACCAGCAGATATGGTGATTGAGGCCTATGGTCACGGCCAGCGCACTTTTGGAGAGAACTATGTAAGAACCCTCTCCCGGAGAGCCTTTGAAAGAGTCATGATTGCCAGGCTTCTGACGTTCTGTTTTTACCCTTTAGGTTCAGGAACTTCTAGAAAAAGCATCAAATCCTAAAGTAAGTGGATATCAGAAGTCTCCTGTTTGTATCTGAATCTTGACCCTTTAATTGAAAATTAGACCCCCTGTTGGTGGTTGAGCAGGAAATTGGGCTGGAGTAAAAAATTTTAGTTCATTTCTGCCTTCTGTCCCAAATGCTCAGATTTTTCTGTCTTTATTCACACTATTGTTTTCTCTTTTTGGCCATTTGGAAATGGTATTTTTGTTGTTGTTTTGTTTTTGGTACTAGGGATTAAAACCAGGGGTACTTCATTGCATTTTATACTCAACTACATCCCTAATCCGTTTTATTTTTTATTTTGAGACAAAGTCTCATGATACTACTGAGGCTGGACTCAAACTTGCAGTCTTCCTGCCTCAGCCTCCTGGTTTTCTGGAATTGCAGGTGTGCACCACCGTGTCTGGAAAGAAATGATGATTTTTAAGAGCTTGCTGTAATCCTCTGTCCTTTTGAGATTTGAAAGCTTAAATCAGTTCATCCTTAAAGGGTAATATCTAAAAGATGGAGAAAGTAGATGGGAACAAGGAAGGCACACAGTAGAAGCCTTAGATTTTTCTTTTAAGTTTCCTTTTGCCTCATTAAGAGATGGCAATAGCAGTTTATTACATTTAAGGGACAGAGCAGATTGAAAGGTCACTAGAAGAGTGCAAATTATTTGAACTGGAGAGGCCTCCATAAAACATGAGTCAAACATGGTTATCTTTTTCACTTCAGATTCTGTCTTCATGTCCTGAGATCAAATGGCATTTCATTGGCCACCTACAGAAACAAAACGTCAACAAATTGATGGGTAAGATGAAACTCTAAATGTGAAAACAAAATTACTGCAACATCATATGACTTAGGCTACCTTCTGTGTAAGAGAGCAACTTACTAGAGCATACCCAATTCACCATGTGTATTGTGGAATTTTTTTAAATAATATTTAGAAAAGTAAAATTAAGAATTAACTATAGGGGCCAGGTGCAGTGGCACACACCTGTTATCCCAGTGGTTTGAGAGGTTGAGGCAGGAGGATCGCAGGTTCAAAACCAGCCTCAGCAACTTAGACCCTAAAGCAACTTAGTGAGACCCTGTCTCTAAATAAAATATTTTAAAAAGCCTGGGGGTGTGGCTCTGTAGTTAAGCACCCTTGAATTCAATCCCTGGTACAAAAAAAATTAACTTCAGGGTTGAGGGTTACACTTCAGTGGTAGCGCACTTGCCTAGCATGCACAAACTCCTGGGTTTGATCCCCAGCACCAGAAAAAAAAAAAAATTAACTATAGAAAGGTTTAACTATATGATAGTGACAGATGGAGATCTTAAGGAACTGAATTTCTCTCAAGGTATCAAAATTAAACTATTTTTTAACAGCTTTATTAAAATATAATTGATAAAAGTATAATTGACTTATAATAAATTGCATATATTTAAAGTGTACAATTTGATAAGTTTGGGCATAAGGTTATATCTGTGAAACCATCGCAATTAAAAAAATCAACATATCCATTTCCCCCAAAGGTTTCCCCCTGTCTCTTTGTGATCCTTCCCTTCTTGCTCCTCCCCATTTCTCTTGCTCAATGCCTCTTACCTGCTTTATCACTGTAGACTAATTCACATTTTTATAGTTTTACGTAAACAATCAAAGTATGTACTCTTATTTGTCATTCAGCATAATAAATTTGAGATTCATCATGTTCGTGCATGTGTTTAGCAGTTTGCTCCTCTTTATTGTTTCTCTTTATTTTATTCCATTGTATAAATATGTCACAATTTCTTTATCCATGGATCTGTCAAAAATTTGACTTGCTTGTAATTTTTATCTGTTACAAGAGAGTTGCTGTGAACATTCTTGTACAAGTCTTTGTATGGACATATATTTTCTTCTCCATTGGAGTAAAATACTTAAAAGTAGAATGACTGATTCACATAGTGTATGTCTGATGTGTAACTTTTGTTTTCTTTTTAGTGCTGAAACTCTGTACTGCTCTTTTATCTCTACCTTTTTTTGGGAGGGGTGGGGGGTACTGGGGATTGAACCCAAAGAAGCTTTACCACTAAACTACATCCCCAGTCCTTCTATTTTTTTTTCAGACAGTTCAGATAAGATCTCACAGAGTTGCTGAAGATCTTGCTGAGTTGCTGAGCCTGGCCTCAAATTTGTGATCCTCCTGACTCAGCCTCCCAAGTGCTGGGATTACAGACACATGCCACTGCAACCAGCAATCTTTAAATTTTAAGAAACTGCCAGCTGTTTTTCAAAATGGTTGTGCCACTTTAAATTTCCACCAGCATTGTTGAAGTTCTTGATAACAGTATATGGTCAGTCCTTTTTTTGTAGTTGTGGGGATCAAACCTAGCTTTGAACATGCTATGCAAGCACTCTACCACTGAGCTACATCTCTAGCCCCAGTCTTTTACTTTTAGCCATTCTAATAGGTATGTGACCAGTTTGATAGTGCATGCCTATAATCCCAGCAATGAAAGGCTGAGGTGGGAGGATCACAAGTTCAGGACCAGCCCCAGTAACTTAGCAAGGCCCTAAGCAACTTAGCAGGACCTTGTTTCAAAATAAAAATGGCTGGGGATGTAGTTTAGTGATAAAGCACCCCTGGTTTAAATCCCCAGTACCCCCTTCAAAAAATAAAATAAAGGACTGAAGATGTAGTTCAATGGTAACCTCTCAGTTCAGTCCCTATTACAAAAAAAAAGAAGAAGAAGAAGAAGAAGATATGGGGTCAAGTCTTTGCATTTATCTAATGGCTAGTGATGTTGAACATCTTTTCACCTGTTTACCATCTTTGATGTCTATATATTTTCAGGTGTCTTAAGTCTTTTGCCCATTGTTTTTCTCTTCTTTTTTTTTTTTTTTTTGTCTGTTGCTGGGGATTGAACCCTGAACCTCACACATTCCTGGCAAACACATATCTACCACTGAGCTATATCCCCAATCCTCTTTTGCTTATTCGTTAATTGGATTGTACTATTACTATTGAAACTAGAGAGTTCTTTGTACTGAATATAAGTCCTTTATCAGATATGGGCTTTGCAAATATTTTCCTCCAGTCTATGGCTCGTCTTTTTATTCTCTTAACAGTGTCTTTTGAAAAACAGTTTTAATTTGATGAAGTCCAATTTATCAGTTTATTCTTTGTTGCTGGGATACAAATGTACACCACTGCACCTGGCTTGTAATATTTTTATATTATCCTTTTAATATTTTTAGAGTCTCTAGTAAGGTTAACTCTCTCCTTCCTGATATTGGTAATTTATATCTTCTCGCTTTCCCACTAATCCCATCTAGCTAGATATTTATCAAATTTATCTACTGTCAGGGACACCCTGAACAGGAGCTATGCACACACTTTTGAGTCCTGAGTAAAGAGGTACTGGACTGGTATTGTACTCTGCAATGCAAGTGGACTTTACCTCCCGCTTAGATTAGAAAGGTGCATCTCTGGGAGTGGGCATCACCCAATGGGGTTGAATTACACCCACCTGTTTATTATAATCCTACCCTTTTGCCCTTATTTGGATAGAGTGTTCCATGGATTAGCTCCCCTCAGAAATAAAAGCCGAACCTCAGAACGTGTCCCCTCTCTCACACCAGCCTCTCGTGTTTTTCTCTTGCCCCACTTTGCGGGAGCTTGAGGCTGTGAGACAGCGAAGCTGTCCTGACGCCCAGAAAAAGGTATTTCCGTGTCTGCGTGATCTTTTCGTGTCACCCCAAATTCACTCCAGCCACCCCGGTTCAGTAGCCTGCGCTGGACAGAGGCTACAATCTACCTAATTTTTTCTATTATTCTATTATTATAATATGTTGTCATATAAACAAAAATATGTATTCTGGGGTTTATCACATGTGAAAGCAAAATGCATAACAACAGTGACATTAAGAATAGAAGGAGAGGGCTGTGGTAGAGCGCTTGCCTCACACATACAAGACCCTGGGTTCGATCCTCAGCACCACATACAAAAATAAACAAGTGAAATAAAGGTGTTGTGTCCAACTACAACTAAAAGAAATATTTTTTTAAAAAAGAAGGAGAGAAACAAAAATACAGTGTTGTAAAGTTTTTGAACTGTATGTGAAATGATATACCCCTTGAAGGTGAACTGTTAAACCCTAAAGCAACTAATAAAATCACTTAATAAAGAGTTATTGCCATTGCCAAGCCCACTAGCACACACAGAGGCTGAGGCAGAAGGATCACACATTCAAGGCCAATCTGAGCAACTTAGTGAGAGACCTGTCAAAAATTTTTTAAAAGGGCTAGGGCTGTTAGTTCAGTGGTAAAATGCTTGCCAGGCATACGCAAGGACCAGGATTCAGTCCCCAGTACTACACACAAATACACATACACAAGAGTTATTGCTAATAAGTCAACAAAGGAACTATGGAATCATGAAATGGTAATTTTTTTTTTTTTTTTTTTTGCGTAGTGATTTTGATTTTCATTTACCTAATGGCTAATGATATTGAGCATTGTTTCCTGTGCTTATTGATCATTTGTATATATTCTTTGGAGAAATATCTATTCAACTCCTTCGCGCTTTTTAATTTTAAGACAGGGTCTTGCTATGTTGTCCAGGCTGGCCTCAAATTCTAAACCTTCCTACCTTATCCTCCCAAGTAGCTGGGATGATAGGCATGCACCACCACACCTGGCTATTTGCACTTTTTTTTTTTTTTAGTTGTAGATGGACACAACACATTTATTTACTTATTTTAATTTATTTACTTTTATGTGGTGCTAAGGATCAAACTCAGTGCCTCACATGTGCTAGGCAAGAGCTCGCTCCACCACTGAGCTATAACCCCAGCCCTATTTTTACATTTTAAAGTTGAAATTATTTGTCTTTATTATTACTGAGCTGCAAATGTTCTTATATTTTCTGAACCAATCCCTTATCAAATAAATGGTCTGCAAATCTTTTCTCCCAGTTCCCTGTGTTGTCTTTCATGTCCTTGGTGGTGGTATCCATTGTAGCACAGAAGTTTTTCATTTTTGTTTACTCTGATTTATCTATTTTTTTCTATTGCATCGTACACCTTGGTGTCATATCTGAGAATTCATTGCTTAATACAAGATCATAAAGATTTATTTTGTTTTCTTCTAATAGTTTTATAATTTTAGCTCTCACTGTTAGGTCTGTGTGAGTTTATTTTTGTATATAGTCTAAAGAAAATGTCCAACTTCATTCTTTCCCATGAACTTTCCTACACCTTCATCTTTGGTTTGGAAGAGATTTTTCTGACTATTGAATTCTAGATAAACACATTTTTTCTTTTAGTACTACAAAGATGTCATTCTGTCATCTCTTTATTGCATCATTTCCAATGAGAAATCTGATGTCATACTTGTCTTTGTTTCTATATTTGTAACATGCTTTCTTCTACTGATTAGTTTTAAGATTTTCTCATTATCTCTGTTTTTGAGCAATTTGATTATAATGTGCCAGTGTAATTTTCTTCATGTTTCAAATGCAGTTCTGGTGATTGAACTCAGACCTCTTACATGCTAGGCAAGTGCTCTGCCACTGAGCTACATCCCCAGCCCTTCATATTTCTTATATTTGGAGTTTGATGAATTTCTTGGATCTGTGTGTTTATAGTTTTCATCATATTTAGATATTTTTTAGAAAATTACTAAACAGGCTTAGGATTTAGCTCAGTTAGTAGAACCCATGTTAGCATGTGCAAACCCTGGGTTCAATCTCCAGCACCACAAAAAAAAAAAAAAATAGACATTTTTTAGGACTGTTTGGAGCATTATTATTTCATTTTAAATAATTTCTTCAAGGTAACTAATCTTTTCTTTGGCCATGTCTAATTGGTCATCAGTGAATTTTTTATCTCATACCTTGTAGTTTTCATTCTAGAAGTTCAATTTGAGCCGAGCACACCTATTATCCCAGTGGCTTGGGAGGCTGAGGCAGGAGGATAGAGAGTTCAAAGCCAATCTCAGCAAAGATGAGGCGCTAAGCAACTCAGTGAGACCCTGTCTCTAAATAAAATACAAAATAGGGCTGGGGATGTGGCTCAGTGCTTGAGTACCCCTAAATTCAATCCCCAGTACAAAAAAAAAAAAACCAAGTAAGTTCAGTTTGAGTCTACATATATATGGGTGTGTGTGTGTACACACACATACCTTCCATGTTTATTTTTTTTAATATATGGGACAGCTATAAGTGTTTATTTAACCTTTTCTACTAATTCTTTCATTTTTGTCTGTTCTAAATCACTTTCAATTGATTGATATAACTCCTCATTATGCATCATATTTTTCTGCTGCTTACATACCTGGTAATTTTTGTTTGGATAGCCAGACTTTGTGAATTTTATCTTGTTGAATGGTAGTATTTTTATCTTCCTATTAATATTCTTGAGCTTTTTTCTAGAATAGAGTTAAGTTTCTTGGGAATAGTTTGATACTTTTAGGTCTTCTTTTAAGATTAGTTGGTGTGACTACAGCAGAACTTAGTTTAGGGTTAATTATTCCCTGCTACTAAGTCTAGACCCCTCTGTACTCTAACCATTGCCCTAAATCTTGAGTTTTCCAGCCTGATTGGTGGGAATTGGCACAGTTCCACATCCTATGTCAACCTCAGGCACTGTTTCTTCTTATCTTTTCAAATAGTTTTTTCCTGGGCTTTGGGCAATTTCCTCACATTGCCCACCTGAATACTTGAAGGGAGACTGTTTCAGACCACTGGCATCTTGTATGCAGCTCCCTCCTCTCTGTCATTGCATCCTGTGAACTATGGCTGCCTTAGTCTTCCTAGGTACTCAGCTCCATTCCCTTAACTCAGAGTCCACCACACTCTACCTCCGTTCCTCTTCACAGTGTCATATTCTAGAAAACTCTTTCCAGACAGTAAGCTGGAACATTTGTGGTGCTCTTTCCATTTGTTTCTCTTTTGTCTTTCATATGTGATATCTAGTCCTTATAAGCTATTATTTCATGTACGTTTCTTATATTATTTGTTGTTTCAAAAGATGGGAGGGCAAATCTGGTTCCTGTATTCCATTTTGTCTGGGAGCAGAGGTCTAATGTATTGTTGTTGGAGATACATCATGGCACCAGCATGGTGTTGCATGCTTATAATGCCAGCAACTCGGGGGCTTAGGCAGGAAGATTGCAAGTTTAAGGTCAGCCTCAGCAACTTAGAAAGTCTCAACAATTTAGTGATATCCTGTCTCAAAATAAAAAGGGCTAGAGAGGGCTGGGGCTGTAGCTCAGTGGCAGAGCACTTGCCTAGCATGTGTGAGGCACTGGGTTCAATCCTTAGCACCACATTAAAATAAACAAATAAAATAAAGGCATTCTGTCCATCTACAACTACAAAAAAAAAAAAAAAAAGATTTTTTAAAGTAAGCCTGAAAAATCAAAGGGAGGGGAGCGGTGCTGGAGATGTATCTCCGTGGTAGAATGCCCCTGGATTAAATCCCAAACACACACACACACACACACACACACACACACATACAAATTACTTCCTGCTTGGTTAGTCATTTTAATTCTAGAGCTTATTTATTTCATAGAAATACTTATACATGTGCACAAGTTCTATATCTAAGCCTTGTAGTAAAAAAAAAAAAGAAAAAACCTAATATGTCCATTAAAAGAGGAATAATTATATAAATTGTGATCATATGTTTATGGAATGCTGTTTTTGTTTGTTTGTTTGTTTGTTAAGTAACAGTGGCTCTATGGTACTAATGTGGAAAAATATCCAGTATATTTCACGAATGGAAACAGACAACCCATGGAGTGTTTAGTATAATTCAGTTCGTGGTGTTTTGTTTGTTTGTTTGTTTTTTAATGGAGGCTGGCATTGTACATCATTGGTGAGGCCCAGGGTTCAGTCCTCAAGTCCCTAGCATCTATAGATCTGGAAGAACTCTCATCTCAAAGGTAACACAGTAGAATCTTCTAGGGTGAGGGACTTTGACTTTTATTGCACCTGCTTTGTTGTTTTGTTTTGTTTGGTACTATTGAATCCAGGCGTACTCTACCACCAGCTCCATCCCAGCCTTTTTTTTTTTTTTTCTTTTTTCTTTTTTCTCCCCAGCCCTTTTCATTTTTTATTTTGAAACAGGGTCTTATTAAGTTGCCCAGGTTAGCTTTGAACTTGTCATCCTCCTGCCTCAGCCACCTGAGTAGCTGGGGTTAGAGGCATATGCCACCATATCAGGTGCTATTACATATGCTTCTACATTGCTTGATTTTTTTTTTTAATGAAGCACATATACTTTGTCATTTTTTAAAAATTTATTTTCTTAAGCAAAGTAGTCTGAGCTTAAATTCAGTATTAAGAGTATAGAATTCGTCATGTATATCTAAAAAAGAATAAATTTTTTTAAAAAGAGTATGGAGAGACTCAGGATGTGGCTCAAGTGGTAGTGCACTGGCCTGGCATGCATGAGGCACTGGGTTCGATCCTTAGCACCACATAAAAATAAAATGAAGATATTGTACTAAAAATAAAAAGAAACATTAAAAAAAAGAGTATGGAATATGGAGGTAAGGGATAGGGAGTAGCTCAGTGGTAGAGCAATCCCCAGGACCACAAAAAGAAAAGAAGAGGGAGTCAGTTTGCCTTAATTTAAATCATAATTCTAATATTTGTTAATTTTGTAAACTTGAATTTAAAAAGACTATTCTTTGCCTCAGTTTTCCCTTCTTTACATGGAGATAATAGTATTTCATTAGCTGTTAAAAAGGAATAATTAAGCTGGACACAGTGGCGCACACCTATAATCCCAGCGGCTCAGGAGGCTGAGGCAGGAGAATCGTGAGTTCAAAGCCAGCCTTAGCAATTAGTGAGGCCCTAGGTAACTTATCGAGATCCTGTGTCAAAATAAAACAACAACAACAACAATAAAAAACATTTTAAAATAAAAAGGAGGGGGACTCAATGGCTAAGTACCCCTAGGTTCAGTCCCTGGTACAAAAAAAAAAAAAAAAAAAGAATTCAGGCCAGTCACCTGTAGTTCCAACTATTTGGGAGACTGAGGCAGGAAACTTGAGAGGGCAATGCTACCTGGGCAATATGAGACCCTGTCTCAAAAAAAAGGAAAGAAAAAAATGATTATGTGGGCTAGGGGTATTTTTCAGTGGTAGAGTGCCCGCCTAGTGTACACAAAGGCCCTGGGGTCTATCCAACAGAACGGTGGGTAGGGAGTTAAATGCTAAATAGCTGGACCTATAATCCAAGCAACTCAAGAAACTCAAGAAGCTGAGTCAGGAGAATCACAAGTTTGAGGCCAGTTTAGCAACTTTGTGAGATCCTGTCTTAAAAAATAAAAAATTAGCTCAGTGGTAAAGCACTTCTGGGTACCACAAAAAATAAAAATAACTAGTTGGTTTTGCCTGTCACTGTTGATCTTTATCTGAGGCAAGTAAGGCTGATACTTCATCTCATGTACACTTTGAAAAAGGAGATGGCTCGAGTGCCTTAAGTGAACCACTTAGCTTTCATTGTTTGGGTCATTTTGATATCCCTGTCACACAAGAACACCTGCATCCCAGAAGGGTTAAGAACACATTGATATCATGTATTCTGGCTTCCACTAGTTAGTCTTTCTTGTCACCTAGACCTTTTTCTCTCAGTGTGAACTGAGACTGAAACCTGTTATTCAGAATCTCTCAAATTACCAGCCTCTCAAAGAGTCTGGGTACATATGCCTCCTGATTGTGGTGTGTCTGTTTCCCTTTCCGTATTCAACTTTGCTCATGAGCCATTGATGATCTAATGTTTGAACTTAGATCTTGTAAACTCTTGTGATTGTCTCCTTTTATCTCCTTAGTGGAACTAAGCTTTGAATGTCTTTTTCTTTTCCTGAGATATTTTTCCCTATAGCAGTTCAAAGATTTACTGCATATTAGCTACCTTGCCTCTTTCTCATTTTACAGCTGTTCCCAACCTCTTCATGCTGGAAACAGTGGATTCTATGAAGTTAGCAGACAAAGTGAACAGTTCCTGGCAGAAGAAAGGTTCTGCTGAAAGGCTGAAGGTTATGGTCCAGATTAACACCAGTGGAGAGGAGAGTAAGTTAACAGCCCTGTATTATAGATTTTTTTTTTCTCCCTTAAGATAACTAAAGATCTCAGAGAATGATGAGCATATAAGTATCTGACCCATAAAGTTATAGAAAGAAGTCACAGGCCTCTAAGTTGTTATATGTGTGATATAGAAGTATAATGATATGCAAGCCAGTCCTTATATAATTCTTTAATATGTCCTGGTTTGTTATATCTTAATTTGGGGGAGGAGAGGATGAATCAAGAAGGAATTGTGCAGAGCTGGGCGGGATGGCAAACGCTTGTAATCCCAGTAGCTTGTAGGCTGAGGGAGGAGAATCACAAATTAGAGACCAGCCTCAGCAATTTAGCAAGGCCCTGTCTCAAAATAAAAAGGGCTGGGGATGTGGCTCAGTGGTTAAGCACCCCTGGGTTCAATCCTGGTACAAAAAAAAAGAAAGAAAGAAAGAAAGGATGAGGCTGGGTGCAGTGACACATGCATGTGTAATCCCAGCAACTTGGAAGGCTGAGGCAGGAGGATCACAAGTTCAAGCCCAGCCTGGGCAACTTAGTGAGACCCTGTCTTAAAAAATGAAAAGGACTGGGGATATAGCTCAGTGGTAGAGCACCACTGAGTTCAATCCTTAGTACCAAAAAAAAAAAGAGAGAGAGAGAGATTGAGACTCTGATCTCCTGAAAGTCCCCAAAGGTCATCATCACTCCTGAAAGGGATTGTAGAGTTACACGTCTAATACATTTTAGGTTTGAAAAGATTACCTAGTGTTGCATTGGAAGAGAATTGAAGAAAAATCCCTGTGAGTACCAGTCAATGACTATCTTACAAGGCCTGGGATAACAGCTTAACATAGCGAGAAGGATCATGACCTTTAAAATCAGACAGGCTTGAGCATCACCACTTTCCAGCTTTGTAATTTGAGGTCCATTACTTTACCTTCCTGTACCTCATTTTCCTTGTCTGGCAATGGTATCATAATAGTACCCACTTCAGAGAATGTGACAAGGATTGAATATGGTGATGCAGGCAAAGCTGTAAGCACAGAACCCCACTCGTCTTCCTTATTAGTTTTTTGTTAAAAATAAGTGTATGAAGCCAGGTATCGTGGCACATGCCCATAATTCTAGCTACTCACCAGACTTAGAAAAGGACCACAAGTATCTGAGTCCAGCCTTAACAATTTAGCAAGACTGTCTCAAAATTTTAAAATGTGGGCAGGCGGGTGGGCCCTGGTGGTATAGTTCATTGATAGAATGCCCCTTGTTTAATCCTGGACCCACAAAAAAAAAAAAAAAGGCTGGGATGTAGCTCAGTGGTAGAGTGCTTCTGAGGGAAAATCCCCAGTATGACAAGTAAGGAAGGAAGGAAATAAATAAAGGAACTTTTTGGTAGGTAAGTAAGTAAACACATACACACACACACACACACACACACACACACAGACACATACATACAATGTTGGAAGCATCTTTTTATTAAGAATAAATGTTTGAAGCCAGGCATGGTGGCACATGCCTATAATTTTAGCTACTTTGGAGGCTAAGGCAGGAGTACCCAATAGTTTGAGTTTAGCCTTTGCAGTTTAATGAGACCCTGTCTCAAAAAAAGTAAGAAGGATTGAAGATGTAACTCATTGGTAGATCATCTTTGGGTTCAGTCCCCAATATCATGTATTAGGGGGGAAACGGCTGGGGATGTAGCTCAGAGAGCTCTTACCTAACATGTGCAAAGCCCTGGGTTCCTCCAGCACTACACAAAAAAATGAAGAACAAAATTCTGAGATGGAGTAAAAAGAATCCGATTTATAGCTCTTTCCTTGAGAAATTCAGAACCTGCCTAGAAGGGGAGCAACACAAAACACCAAACCTAAAGTTGCTCCTTAGGACTTGATGATAACGTATTCCATAAGGTCCTCATCTGAGAGTTATCTTCTCTGGTAGAAGAGATGGAAGAAAATGGAGCCCTCCTCCTCTGGCTGTTTAAGGCATTTCAGCTTATGTGTCTTCTGTTTCTTTTTGTGAAGGTAAACATGGCCTTCCACCTTCAGAGACAATACCCATGGTGGAACACATAAATACCAAGTGTCCCAGCCTGGAATTCGTGGGACTGATGACCATAGGAAGCTTTGGGCATGATCTTAGCCAAGGACCAAACCCCGACTTCCAGGTACTAGGGGCCAGGAGTTGGGTGGGGTGAGGGATTACTCATGTGCAAAAGATGGATCTTGGGGTTAGGGGTGTAGCTCTATGGTAAAGCGCATGCTTAGCTTGCATGAGGCCCTGGGCCGGCTGTTGTAACTTCAAAGACATTTCACATATATAAAAAGTAACAGTCAAAAATAAGGAAAATCAGAATAGAGGAGGGAAACTAGGCGGAGGGAGGAGAGGAGGGAAATGCAGGAGAGTGGGAACTGAATGGCGACTGAAATGGAGTAAATTAAATTCCATGCATATATGACTTTTGTCGAAATGAACACCACTGCTATGTATAACTGTAATACTTTAATTTAAAAAAAATTATGAGCTATGAAAGAAAACAGAAAAAAAGACATCCCTCATATTGTCTAGTAGATATTATAACCCTCTTCTGAACTCTCTCATAAGGGAAAGGAAATAGTAAGTTCTCAAACACCACAGACATTTCTAGCTAATTTGAAATTGGCTCACACAGTTTTTAAAGCTTTTTCTTCCTAATGACTGATAGTTTTCTTCTTTCATTGTTGTTTTTTTCTGTTTTGTTTTGTTTGCAGTTCTGGGATTAAACCCAAGGCCTCCTGCAAGAGCTGTACCACTGAATTACATGCATAGCCCCAATAGTTTTCTTGAAAGTGGGGGGTTTTATTAAAGCATTTCTAATACTTCTGGCAATTTTGACAGGCCTCAGAATCATGCAGAATAAATAATCTTCAGGGATGATCAGATTTGGTTATTTTCAGACATCATTAGAGATGGCAGGAATAAAATGGGTATCACGCTTGTGTCTCTGTCAGGTGTTACTGTCCCTGCGGGAGGAGCTGTGTAGAAAGCTGAGCATCCCCACTGACCAAGTTGAGCTGAGCATGGGCATGTCCATGGACTTCCAGCATGCAGTAAGTGTCCTTCTGGGTGCCCTTTTCTGTTTTAGAGTAGGGTCCAAAAGGATGAAGCAGAAATAGGTTTCTGGTAGGAAAACCTTTGAAATGCCTCCTTGCAGATTACCCAGTCCCAGGGATTGTCAACTATTCTAAGAAAATTTATAGACGGTACAGCCTAACATCTAATTTTCAAAAATTCAGTATAATTCCCTGAGTGTAATCTAAAAGAAAATAAGAAACTATAGGCTGGGAGGATAGCCCAGTGGTAGACCACATGAGTTAGCATGCACTAAGCCCTGGGTTCAATCCTTTGACACCAAAAAAAGAAAGAAATTAACTAATTTTTAAAGGCATTTCATCATGTAAACACCAGGGCATGAATATATGACAGTATTTTTTTTCTTTTCTTTTTCTTTCTTTCTTTTTTTTTTTTTTTTTTTTTTGTGTGTGTGTGTGTGCCAGGGATTTTAAAAAGGGTTGCTTAATTACTGAGACACATCCCCAGCCCTTTTATATTTTATTTAGAAACAGGGTCTTGCTGAGTTGTTAGGGCCTCGCTAAGTTGCTGAGGCTAGGTTTGAACTCAAGATCCTCCTGCCTCATCTTCCCGAGCCACTGGATTACAAGTGAGCACCACCATGCCCATCATGACAGTAAATCTTAGTGAGGTGATCTGATACTTAATCATGTGTAGATTCACCATGAATTCAACAGCTGTAAATACAAACTGATAGAGGACATTTATTGGCAACATATACAGGAGTTTATAGAATAGTAAATAACTGGCCAGTCATGGTGGCACATGCCCGTGACTTTGGATGCTGAGACAGGAGAATCACCAGTTTAAAGTCAGCTTCAGCAACTTAGCGAGACCCTAAGCAAGACCGCAAGACCGGTCTTAAAAAATAAAAGTGCTAGGGTTGTATCTCAGTGGTTAAACATCTGGGTTCAATCTCTAGTACCAAAATAATAATAATAATAATGAATAAGAATAGTAAGTAATTGATAAAGTTCTAAAAAATTAAAGCATAATACATACCTGGAAAATTATATATACTAAACCAGTATAAAAAGTCTTTCTGTTTATAAGCTAAATGCAGTTAGCTTCTATGCTCTAATAATTGTAGTAAGGCTTTTTCTTCTACCTGACCATGGCACATTGGAAAGGCATGTGGGCTGAGACAACTCTTCACTATACAGTTGTATCCTATATACCTCCAGTGTCCAACAGCCCTGGTGTCCACTGAACTAAATGCCATCGAGCTCCCCAAGTTCTGTGGAAACCCAGAAATCATTACTTGCTTCCTGAACACCTCCCTGGTACTTCCCCAGGGAGAACCACACCCCATAGCTGCATTATCATGTTCTTTATAGAAGCCTCTGGAGAGCTAGAAGGAGAGGCACAGTTTCAGATTAACTACATTTTACTATTTTTAAAAATCATCCTCAATACTTTCTCCTCTTTCCCATAGATTGAAGTAGGCTCTACAAACGTCCGGATAGGAAGCACCATTTTTGGAGCACGGGATTTCTCAAAGAAACCTGCCCTGGATAAGAGTACAACAGACCTGAAGGCCCCAGTGGGGGTGGCACAGGAACACTGAGCTGAGGACAACCAAGAAGACTAACTATGCACAAACCCTGATTCTCATTTTTATATTGCCCATGTTACAGCCCAATCATGCTCTCTTGTGACCTTGATAGAGCACTGATGATCACATGTGTTGATGGAAACCATCTCACATAGAAAGCTTGCTTCAGGCAGTGGCTTTGGATTGAATTTGAGAAATCCAGTCTCTTCTACAGAGCAAACATCAAATCAGTAGCCAGGAAGTGAGTTTAATGTTGAATTCTGCGGACAAGCACCAACCAATCTGTGAATCTCTTTTTCAAGTTAAAATTTGAGTCAGTGAGCCAAAGGTAGTGGCATACACCCATAATCCCAGGGGGAGGCTGAAAGAGGAGTAACGTAAGTTGGAGGCCAGACTGTGTAACTTAGGCCCTTAGCAAGTCTCAAAATAAAAAGGGCTGGATGAGCTTAGTGGAAAAGCACTTGCCTCGCATGTGTGAGAATCTGGATTCAATCCCCAGTACTGGGGAAAAAAAAAAAAAAAGGAGTCATGAATTTCTATAATTATGGAAGTCAGAGGGATTTCCCACCCTCCTCCCACTTTAATAGGAAATTCCTATGATTACAGACTTCTTACAAGTTCCTACTTAATGGTCACCTTTGCTGCTCAGTAGATAGGGAAGGTATTCTCTGCTCAGGAATGGCAATATAAGTAACATAAACAGTGGTTTAAATTAAGGCTCCAAACACAAATTTTTGCTAGGGAGAGTTTGTGTGATTGACCACTGTGATACTGACCCTGAAATTACAGGGGTTAATTGATTGTAAATAGGACCTGGGTCTTTCTGAGGTCCTCGTGAACAGACCGGATTTTGAGCTTTTACCTCTAGGACCTACAGTGATGGAATTTAATACAATTTCTCCTCCACCATAATCCTCTTTCAGGTGATTTTCTAGCCAAAAAAATTGAATTTCACCACTCCTCAAAAATGAAAGTTCTATCCAGGCATGGTGGTGCACACCTATATTCCCAGCCATTTGGGAGGCTGAGGCAGGAGGAACCCAAGTTTGAGGCCCACCTGGGCAATTAGTGAGACTATGTCTCAAAATAAAAAAGGGCTAGAGGTATAGCTCAATGGTAGAGCACTTCCCTGGCGCACACGAAGTCCTGGATTCTATCCCCAGTACTGGGGGGAGAAAAAGAAAAAAATTGAAGTCATTAAAGCCAGTTCAGACACATGGTTTCAACAAGGCTTTCCTTTGACGTTCCCTTTCTGAGGAAGCGTTTTCTACGCACATTTACAGCTCCCCGCTGTATTTATAAGCCAGAATTTTGAAGCTCTTCTTGATTGTTAATAAAGCATTGATATCTTCAAAAACCAGAAAGCACAATTCTCTAACAGTCATGACAGATGGCTTCAACGTTGGTTGTTTATTTTTTAGATAGCTTTTTCTCTTATTTGTTCAAGCCCTCGTCTTTAATTTTATGAAATAACTTTGAGAACATGATGCTGCTGCTGAATGTAATTTTGTAACACACCATTATGATTCCTGTACTGTTTCAATCAAAGCTACAGTGTGATATTTCAGAGTGTTAAATAAAATGTGAGTTTGAATTATACCATCTGTGCCAATTACAAAGCAATTAAAAGATTTATTTTTTATGATCTGGTGTAGTAAGTGATCTAACAGGAGGTGGGCATTGGAACCGACAGGGAGCAGCTGCGCCTGTTGCTTGCCAGCCTAGCTTTGAAGAAGGGTTTTTCTTGGATCACAGATGCAGCCAAAGCCATGCTACGGATAAAAAAGAGATTCTGAACTTCTAGGGCAAGGAAATTAAATGATGATTCAGGAATTACAAAGAGGTTAGCTTTGGCTGCAAGAAACTCTTGAATTGCCTCTAGATGGCGACATTGGCTAAACTGGGGCAAGAATTAGGGCTCCACTGTCAGCAATTTACCCTGGAAAGGATTCCTGGTTATTTTAGTCTCCTTCTCTCTTTTGTTGGTTTATTTATTTATTTGGGCAGTGCTGGGTATCAAACCCAGGGCCTTATGCATGGTAGGCAATCGTTCTATCATTGATTTGCACTGCTAACCTTATCATATTTCTTGTTGTGTTTGTTTTTATGTTTTATCTTGAGACAGGGCCTCACTAAATTGCTGAGGCCGGTTTCAAACTTGTGATCCTCCTGAGTCAGTGGGATTACAGGCCTATGCCTCCCTCCATACCCAGCAGGCTTATCACACTTCTTAAAGCAACCTCTCAAATGTATCCCCTCCCAGTTTTTCTCTTTTTTTAGCATTTATGGTTAATAAGCACTCTCCCTCATATTCTCTTATTTTAATCTCATAACAGATGGTCGTGTATTTTAGGCTACTTGGTGATATCATTTTTTGGACAGGCAATGAGGCCCAGAGCAGGGACCCTCCTTGTTTGAGATCAGAACAAGTTGGTGGCAGGGTAAGAAATAAACTCCAGACTCCTGACTTCTCTGGTCTGCAGCTTGGTCACTACATTACCATAGTATTCTTGGCTTTTTGCCATAACAGGGACTGAACCCAGGGCTTCTCATGTCCTAGTCAAGTGCTCCATCTCTGGCTTTAATCACTGAGAAATAGCATTCTTAGATTTGCGGCTCTAACTTCAGAGACCTATATCACTATATAACAAATGTGCAGTTTTTAGTTTGTTGTATTACTTGAGAATCGATGCATCTTAATGCAGAACAAACTCTGAAACCACAAGCAGTGGTGGTGAGAAGGAAGGAGAGAATTAAACTCAGCCATGAGGAGGATTAGCCTCCCTTCCGTTATCCCACTTCCCTGGCATGCACATTCCTCCTCCAAATTCAAACTCTCCCACAGTCTGTGGGGCTCAGAGTGTGCAAGACTGTGCCCTCACTCCCACCCCTGCTCCCCAGGGCTGAACCAGCAGTCAATTCTGTTACCCAAGACTAGACACAGAAGGAATGAGGTCAGAACGGGGCATTCTTAAAACCCAAGACATTTTTGTCCTTTGGAAAACAAGTAACCCCGTTCTTCCCACCAAAGCTTTTAGAGGGGAAGGATAATTCCTGAAGGACTACAGTAGGGGTGGGACTTTGCCAGTATGCAATTGGAAATGGTTTGCTCTGGGAATGGTGACTGTCTTTACCATGAAATCAGTTGAATGCTATTACATCAGCCTCATGACTAAGGGTAAAAGAATCCAAACCACCATCCTCCAAAATGATTTACAAATCTGCCCTCCATGAAGGAACACATAGGTAAAGAAAAAGAGAAAAAGTTTTGTTTTTTGTTTTTTGTTTTTCCCCAGTGCTGGGGCTCAAACTCAGGGCTTTGTGCATTTTAGGCAAGTTCTAGGCAAGTACTCTACCACTGAGCTACTGAGCTACACCCCCAGTTCAAGAAATGGGCTTCTTTCCTGTCCCATTTGTATCATTGTGCATATACTATACCTATGTGTAGTTGAGTCAAAGTCACTTTGAGGTCCCAAGGGACATTGGAGCTAACACTTTATTTTCCAGCACAGATCAAGTGTGGGGACCACCAGAGGGAGTTTGGGCACCTTTTTTGTATTTGGGCCAGAGGGGAGAGGAGATGCTAGAGATTGAACCCCGGGGCTGTCTACCACTGAGCTACACTCTCAGCCACCCTTGCCCCACCTCCGCAGTGAATGTGTATGTGTATGTGTGTGTTGAGACAGGCTCTTGCTAAATTGCTGAGGCTGGGCTTGAATATGACATCCTCCTGCCTCAGCCTCCTGAGTAGCTGGGATTACAGACACGTGCCACCACACTCCTTTCTTGTATTTAAAATACCTTTACAAGCTCAAGCTCCTGAGCTTTGGGATGCCAAGGGAGCAGACGCCACACTTCAATGCCTGAGTGCCTCTCAAATGGCTCAGGTCATGCTAGCTGAAACATCCCATGCCAGCTGCCTGCTAGTGTCTGCCCCCACCCACCCTCCAAGGAACGGCCGTGCTGCTCTCCAGCTTCAGAGCTGAGCTTGACCCGGCTGCCAATCTCCAAAATAAAATCAATGTGTAACCTTATTCAGCAGATGTACCAAAGAAACACGCACAAACCAGGGCCAACTTTGAAGCCAAAAAGGGAAGATGAGAAGTGGGAGAGAGAGAGAGAAGGGAAAAGAAACTTGGCTGGACATGAAAGGTGTCTTGTCCGTCTGTTCCCCATTAGGCATAATTCTCTTGCAATCTGCAGCCTCAACATAATTCTCTTGACCAGAAACTCTCCGGAGAGATAGTGTCAGAAGGAAAAACAAACAGAATAGCATCTTCTGACAGCGAAGTCACTTAAAAACCTATTTGGGGGGAGAAGAGGAGAAATGTCAGCACATCAGGGGCGGGCACTCCTTGACAGCAGGCCACATGTGGAGAGACACTTTGCCCAGAGACTGGACAAGGACAGAAAGGGCAGCCCAGAGAGGGTTGATATGCAAGGGCAAGGTGTCCCAGAAAGCCAAACCCCGAATTTTTCTGCTTACCATCTGTTCTGATGCCTCAAGATCTGCCTAGTCAGGCTTCCCAATATTAAAACCCACAAGCGCTGGGGATGTAGCTCCCGGGTAGAGCACCTGCCTAGCATGTGCAAGGCCCTCGGTTTATCCCCCAACACTGCAAAAATAAAATAAATCAATAGGGGCTGAGGGTGTAGCTCATTGGTAGAAAACTTGTCTAACATGTACAAGGCCTTAGCTTTGGATCCCCAGCACCACAAAAAATAAAATAAGCCCCATGGTGCTTTTTATAACCCCATAGTACATGGAGAATTCAGAAGGACTGTTCAGAAAGAAGTCCTCGTACTTGTCTGATGGCCACCAGCAACCAAAGACTGGAGACTCACTATACCTGTAAGTGTGTAACCATCTCCCCAAGCAGCAAGACCTCTTCTCCCCTGGCTGTTTTGACCTGCCCTTGAGCTAAGCATTCTAGTATTCGGGAAGCAGAGCCCCACCCCACCGGCGGGAGCCCAGGGGGAAGGTTCTGGAGGGGTGGGGTGTGCAAGGCAGGGCAGGCAAGGGCGGCAGTTCTCTGCTCAAGTTTCTGGGGCAGGCATCCTGTTATAGGAGAGACCTTTTTTCAAAGGAAGAAAAACTAATCAGCAGAAAGAAGCGAGAGCTTTCCCCTGCCTTTCGGACTTGTTTATTACTGGGATATCTGATTTCAGCAAAGGAAGCCTGCACCAAAGCAAGGTTTTTATTGGCCGTGAGCAAGAGGAATTCAGGGCTTGCCTTTGATTTGGCTTCCCCAGAACATGAGGCACTGAAGGGTGTTCGCTGCTTTGATGGAGAAACAGCAGAATTTGGGGGGCCCAAATTCCCTATTTCGGGCAGCATGGACCAAAAAAAAAAAAAAAATCCCTTTGGAAGATGAAGGTAGAGTAAGGAGCCCAGAGTGGGATGTGGCCTCACAAACATTTCAGAGGGGAAATGGAAATGGAGGACAATAGTCAACAAGTTCTGCAACTGGAACATGAGTGAGGGGCCTGCCCCCCTTCCCTGCGAGTGGGGAGTCGGAGGAGGGCAGGTCTGGTTTGGATGAAAGCACAGTGTTCTGAGACATCTCTAACCGACAGAACTAGGCAGGCTGCAGTCGAGGGCTGGGGCCTGATGGTTTCAATGTGTTCGGAAGATAAAGCCAGAGATTGGAGAGGCAGCCTCTGCCAACAGCACTTCACAGCTGGATGGGCTGGGGCTCGGGGAGGGGTTTCCCAGCTGGGCCACAGGTTCCCCCAGGCTACAGAGAGCTGCCACTCTGGGTCTGCAACCCCAGGCAGTCCCATGGCCTCATCTCACCCTGGGCTGGTGTAGCTTTCCTGCTTCCTTCTGGTCTTCATAGGAGAACCAGTCTCACGTCTCACACTGGAGAAAAAGGGAAAGTGTGCCCCAATTTGTGGGTCCTTGGAAAAACCCAACCATCTCTGCTCTCTCTGTCCCCCCCCCCCCCCCCCCCCCCCCCCCCCCCCCCCCCCCCCCCCCCCCCCCCCCCCCCCCCCCCCCCCCCCCCCCCCCCCCCCCCCCCCCCCCCCCCCCCCCCCCCCCCCCCCCCCC